TATAGGGACCCATGTGGTTTCCCATATGGGAGCCTATGTGGGAATTTTCATTGGGGATTCACCAAGGTTGAATAAATTTTAGCCGAAAAGCAGGGTAAGTTCCAATTTTTCTCACAAGATGGGATAAAAAATGTTGTCTTCTACAAAACAGTGTTGATGAATATATGCCAAATTTCAATAATGCATATTTGAATACAATTGTAAAAAAAAAATAATTCTTCAATTGAAATTATATTTTATATCTGTTTCTTATTCGAACATATATAAAATTAAAATTATATAATTTATTATAAATATAGATTAACCGTTTACGTGATTTCTGTTAGTAAAAAAATTGCCCAATCAGCCCGAATATTCCGCTAGGACACTCAATTCAGCCAATCACTTCTTACTGTGAGTACACAGTTAGGCTGCTCGCACAAGAAAAGACGGAGCAGTGTGCAGGATGTGTTTCAAATAAGATAGAAAAGGAAAGAGCGATATTCCTGGCTTTTTCTATCTTATTTGAAACACATCCTGCACACTGATCCGTCATTTCTTGTGCGAGCAGCCTTATGGTAATGTCAGGTACGGTTCCGTTCCACAGCAGTTGCTTCCAGAAGCTGTTGGCTGTGTACAGACCGTACAGTTTATTGGTTATGTCGGTATAATACAAAATAATAAATATTAGCGTATAAATTGTTTAAATTATTAATTATATGATTATGTAACAAATTCCACTTACATGCTGTCAGATATGTGAAATCAGTAAGCTTAGTCAAAAAATATAGTACAAAAAATAAAAATAAATAAATGAAAATAATAAAATATTTAAATTTAATTTAAGTTACAGTTAATGACATAACATATGTTCAATCATTTTTTTAAAGTGTAATTCAAAATAAAATTTTACTTTACAATGTAATTCAGTTATTTTTAACTTCATATTTTATTATCAATACTATTAGTGCTAAGTAAAAAATAACAAAATATTTTTATTCAGAAATAATTATGTATTTAATTATTATTGTTACTTATAATTATTTGTTAATTAGCATTAATATTAATTTGTTTACTTTACTACATTAATAAAATATTAGATACTTCTATAAATTTTGAAGTTTCGCGCGTTAATTTTTTCTGGTTCTGCTATTTAAGCAAACCAATCAGAATGTAGAATTAATCTGATGGCATTATAGCAGACGAAATTTTTTCCCCTTGTAACTTGAAGCAAAGTATAAGAAGAAAGGTTGTATCGAGTCCGAAGTAGTTTTTTCTGTGCTATAATAGAAATTTTCTTGAATTTTTGATTTGGTTAATAATGACAAGCTGTCGCCATTTACCCTGAGTTTTCAAATGTTTGGGGTAAATTGGGACAGCTTGCCATTATTAACCAAATTAACAAACATTAAAAATTAAAGTGAATTTCTGTTATGGGAGTCATAAGGAATAAGAAAAAAAATTGGTATGATTTTTAAGTCTGTTTTTTTTTCAAATGCGAGATAAAATACTGAAATAAAAAAAAATAAAGAAAATAAAAAAATTTCAATTGTTTCAACTATTATATATCTCTTTCAAATTTTTTTTCAAGTTTTTTCATCCCTTAATACAGTAATATACTTAAGGAAACTTTTTTCTTAAAACTTTCTTAGAAACTATGCTGTCCCCATTTACCACAAATTTTTTGAAATTTTCTAAATTTTGGGGTAAATGGGTACAGTCAGTTTCATGCGTTTAAAGCTTATCTCAATTTTTTTCTGTTGCATAAAATTAATCCTTGTAACGTAAATAACAACTTAAAAAAAATAAACCCGCAAATATTACCTTTTAAAGGAAGAAACTTACGTAATTTGTGAAAAATAGCGATTTTGTCCCCAATTACTCCAACTGACTGTAATTTATCAATTTTTTAAATAAATAATTATTGTTTTTACGTATTTTATTAAAAAAAATTCTAAAAAAAAGTTTTTTACTAATTTTTGTTAGTTGCAAACTTCAAAATTGTACAAAATAATGTTCAAAAAATGAATAATTTTAAAATTTTTTAAATAAATTATTTATTTATTTATTTATTTAATGAACCAACGGGCTTATAACCCTATAGAGATTATTATTTTTTTTATGTATTTTCTCAAAAAAAATCCTAAATATTTTTTTTCTTAATTTAATATTTAAAAATTGAATTATTTTTCAATTTTTTAAATGAATAATTATTGTTTTTTACGTATATTTTTCAAAAAAACATATAAAAAAGGCATTTTTTACTAATTTTACTAGTTGCAAATTTCAAAATTTTTAAAAATAATATTTATAAATTGAATTACTTTTCCATTTTTTGAATAAATAATTATAGTTATTTACATATTTTTAAAAAAAACCCTAAAAACTAGTTTTTTCCTAATTTGATATTTGAATATTTCAAAATTGTAAAAAATAATGATTAAAAATTGGATAATTTTTCAATTTTTTAAATAAATAATTATTGTTTTTTACGCATTTTCTCAAAAAACCATACAAGTACATATAAAAAAGCATTTTTGACAGTTTTTTAAATTGCTTATCTCAATTTAAAAAAACGGTTGAAAATCTAATTATTCTTCAATTTTTTAAAAAATAATTATTGTTATTTATGTACTTTTTCCTAAAAAAACACATATAAAAAAGCAGTTTTTAGTGAATTTTTCAAATTGAACCGCCGGCGATCAAAAGGGCTTACGCGAGGTTTTCATTGGCCCCCGGAATAGCTGGAGGCTTGCTGAACGCGGGGCCAACGAAAGTCACGCGTAAGCCCTTTTGGTCACCGTCGGTTCAATTACTTATCTCAATTTTCTAAAAAATAATTATTGTTTTTTATGAACTTATTTCAAAAAAGCAAATATAAAAAGCAGTTTTTTTAGACCTTTCATTTTTAATGTTGAAAAAAGGTTGGAAATACAATTATTTTTCAATTTTTATATTGCCTATCTTTTATAGATTTAACGATATATTAGTGTGGCGCAAGTAGAGTAGAATAAGGAAAAATAACTTTAGTATTGGGCGTTAGCGAACGATGCAGCAATTAAGGTGGCAAGTGGTTTGCGCAGTAGACCAAATTAGGTTTCTGCGCACCGGATGTATCCACGTTATACGGTGGAGCTTGTCAAAATTTTATTTAAAGAGTTTTAAAATTTTTATTAAAAAATTGACAACCTGTCAGTAATCTAATTTGATATACTTGATTGTATTATAAAATATGGATTTGCTAACTAAGACCCATCAATTTCAATTTATTAAATTAATTAAGTGTCATCTGATTACGAAGCAAAGTAACATAACCTAAATGCATTCACACATGTATGCGCGGAAGTTTCAGTTTTTCTCTACTGCGCAAACCACGCAAATCTTTATTGTCCTCAGTATTTGTTTCATTCCCACCATTGCAGTTATTCCTCTTCTTCTTGGTATAGAGGTGTCTTGTGACTGTATCTACTATATCTATATTATATATTTATAATGGTTAAAATAAACATGACTGCAGAAACTGTCATTTTTTGCGTCGTTATTCAAGACTGCGTCTACAGCTAGCCCAAACAAGTTAGCATTTTTAGATGCTTTAACTCCGTAGTTCAACTTTTTTATTTAAACCCTTCATTTTAAGGTAAAATATGGTACCTAAATTTTGTACTTCGAACTCCTATCGGAACCTCAAAATTTTTTAAGATATAGATGTAGGAAATCAGTGTTATCAAATTACCGCCTTTTATGACATAACAGGAAAGTTAAAGCTGACTAAATTCTGAATAATTTGCAAAAAAAGAACAATGTAATAGCTTTAACTTTCCTATTGGTCATTTTTTTTAAAAACTCATTTCTTTAAAAGTTATATTAAAAAAACTGAAAAATACCTTATTTTTTCTAAAATCTTAATAAAAATGGGTTTTTTGTGAAACCTATACCTATCTAAATTTTTGAATTACTGGGTTCATTTTTTTTATCATATTACTTAGAATTTTATACACTTTCTTTTTATAATAACCATTTTTATGCTAAAATGTTATGGAGGGTGGCAATTTTAAAAAAATCTGACTTTTTGAATCTATTTCTTAAAAAAATTTTAGGTTCTGGTAGGAGTTTCAAGTATCAAAAAATACTTTATTTTTACCGCAAAATGAAGAGTTTAAGCAATAAAAAATTATGGTCCTGAGTTAAAACGTGATATTGGTATAATTCGATACAAGTAGCCAAACGAGCAATATGCAATACGCTTGTAAGGCTACGGGTATCGAATCATATTTTTCTTTATAAACGCAGGCATAACCCCCCACTTACAGCTATTCAAAATGGCCAATTTCCTCACGCGCACGGATGATGAGCAAAATATTTTGTACACTGAACGATGGTCAAAATAAGCAAAGTATTTTGCACACTGTTAAATAGTATGCAAAATACTTTGCTCATCGTCCGCGCTTAATGTGAGGGAATTGGTTATTTGGATAGCTGTAAGTGGTTTGCATTCGTGAGCTGATTTATATTCCATCATACAATGAATGTTACATTACATTACATTACATAATGTTACATTAATAACCACAGTTTTTTCAAATTTTAAATTAATAATTAAATAGAAAAAATATAGGCTTACCGTATTAAATCCTTTTTATCATCTCGTCAATTTACGATATTTTACATTTAATTGTATATTCTAATTTTATAAGTAACATTTTCTGGATAAATATTTTTCAAGTCTATAAATGTATTTGTAAAAATTAAAAAATTTATTTTTTTAAAATTAGATTCTTATATACAAATTTAATTCAATTTATTTTATTGGTTATACATTATATCTTTATGAAAAAGATTTAAGTATTTTAAAAAAATAATAAATTGCACATAAAAATTTATTAAAAATAATTTAAATAATTTTAATTTGTGAGGAATAAGGAATTATGTATAAGGTTTTAAAAATAATAAAATGTAAACGTTTATTTTAAAAGGTTATTATTTTTCATTAAACTGAAAGATCAATCTGTGAGTAAATTATGTATATAGTTTTAATAAAATCGGATTCATTTTTACGAATTAAATTTTTTTTATCATAATTTGATGTCAAATTTAAATTTATTTTTAATTGTAATTTAAAAATCAAATTTAAATTAACTTTTTATTGCAATTTGAGATCAAATTACAATAAAAAAATGGAATTGTAAAAATAAATTTGATTTTGAAGTAAAATCAAATTACATAATCGACATCTAATTGCCACCACATCGCATACTCTGTCTGCCACGTAAACTGTAGGTAAGACAATCATTCTGCAAGAAAAAATATTTTATACTTACTTTCAAGTAAAAAGAATTACATATAGAGTTGTAAAATCAGTTCATTATCTTGTGTTATGATTGTTAAACGATGATACAATTTTGTTTTTCGTCTTAATAATTATGTCCCTCTTCTGTAAAATAATCGGTATAGTCCTTAACTTCCTGTCAACAGTAAAATCACATTAATTACTTCATGAGTGACTTTCTAATTTTTATTTAAATAATGCCATTTTCAATAATAAACTATCATTATTATTTAAAAAAATGAACAAAATGATTTTCTATGTAAAGAATAATGTATAAGTTGCTTTCGGTTATAGTGTTATATTCTTGAATTTATTATTTGCAGAATTTCATAATGCGTTTTAACGCTTAAATCAAATTTTTACAATCAAGGACAATCACTTTGCAGAAAAACTATCACTACATTTATTTTATAATTAAGAAACTCCACACACCTCTTCTTCTATGAGGATAATTTTACCCTCCTCACCACATACCCAGTCATACACATGATTAAATGGTAACACTATTACTCCGCTACAAAAACAAGATAAAACCAAGATACTCTCAATTATAATAAATTTAGTGATTTATTTAACGTATAAAGGATGCTTGAAGAAATTTATTTTCCCATTCCATTCTTTAATTATTCTATCGCACAAAATTCTATCGCACACTGATATTTTGAAACAAAACTATACATTAATTTAAATCATTGCTTCTTTTCCGCGACAAAAATGCTGATGTAGATGATGATGTTTCTGAATTAAAATCTTACATTCTTCCTTATTATTAAGTCCTTTTCATAAAATGTTTCCAACGTTGATAATTCAATGATAATGTAATATTCTTAAATTGATTATTTCCAGAATATCGTAAGGCTTTTTTACGATCATGTAGAAACATCTTGATTTATTTATTATTTTCATTTGTCCTCTAATAAATGTATGTCCCACGTTCATATTAAGCTGAGGGTTCTTAAATTTATTTCCTGCAGTATTATGTAATGAGTTGGAATAAAGAAATTCTGTTGTTGCTTTCGATGCAAATCACAGTACAGAAAACATATCACTTAATTTGATTTATAATTAAATAACTCAATACACATTTTTTTCGAGAAGAATAATTTTGCCCACCTCACCACATACCCAGTCATACACATAATTTTATGGTATGACTATTATTCTACTTAAAAATGAAGATAGCATAGAGTTACTTTTAAATATAATAAATTTAGTGCTATACTTACCATGTGAATCACGCATGATGATATTAATTTCTTGATTGCTCTTGTAAATACTCCTTTATCAAAAAAATATCTGATTACCGATGAATCCTTTTTTTCGGTGAACATGATGATGATGATTATAAAGGAACATCATTATTTCTTTATTATTGTGTGTCCTATTCAAATTGTATGTCCCACGTTGATATTTTGCTGAGTGTTCTTGATTTTATTTCTTGCAGTATTATGTGATGAGTTTGATTGGTAAAATTCAGTTGTTGCTTTCAATGCAAATCACATTGTGGAAAACATACCACTTTATTTCTTTTACTATTAAGGAACTCAATACACATCTTTTTCTAGAAGAATAATTTTGCCCACCTCACCACAAACCCAGTCATAAACATAATTTTATGGTATGACTATTATTCTTCTAGAAAAAGATAATGGCACAGAGTTACTCGTGGTATAACAAATTTAGTGATATGCTTACCATGTGAATGACGCATGATGATATTAATTTCTTGATTCCTCTTGTAAATACTCCTTTTTCAAAAAAATATTTCCCACGATGATTTTTTACAGAATCCTGTGCTTGTGTCGATTACCGATGAATCCTTATTTTGCGGTGAACATGATGATGATGATTATACAGGAATATCTTGCTTTCTATATTATTGACGTGTGTCCTCTTTTAAATTTATGTCCCACGTTGATATTTCGCTGATTGTTCTTGATTTTATTTCTTGTAGTATTATGTGATGAGTTTGATTGGTGAAATTTAGTTGCTTTCGATGCAAATCACATTGCGGAAAACATACCACTTTATTTCTTTTACTAGAAAGGAACTCAATACACATCTTTTTCTAGAAGAATAATTTTGCCCACCTTACCACAAACCCAGTTATAAACATAATTTTATGGTATGACTAATATTCTACTAGAAAAAGATGATAGCATAGAGTTACTCTTAGTATAACAAATTTAGTGATATGCTTACCATGTGAATGACGCATGATGATATTAATTTCTTGATTCCTCTTGTAAATACTCCTTTTTCAAAAAAATATGTCCCACGATGATTTTTTACAGAATCCTGTGCTTGTGTCGATTACCGATGAATCCTTATTTTGCGGTGAACATGATGATTATGATTATACAGGAATATCTTGCTTTCTATATTATTGTCGTGTGTCCTCTTCTAATTTTATGTCCCACGTTGATATTTCGCTGATTGTTCTTGATTTTATTTCTTGTAGTATTATGTGATGAGTTTGATTGGTAAAATTCAGTTGTTGCTTTTAATGCAAATCTCATTGTGGAAAACATACCACTTTATTTCTTTTACTATTAACGAACTCAATACACATCTTTTTCGAGAAGTATAATTTTGCCCACCTGACCACAAACCCAGTTATAAACATAATTTTATGGTATGACTATTATTCTACTAGAAAAAGATGATAGCATAGAGTTACTCTTAGTATAACAAATTTAGTGATATGCTTACCATGTGAATGACGCATGATGATATTAATTTCTTGATTCCTCTTGTAAATACTCCTTTTTCAAAAAAATATGTCCCACGATGATTTTTTACAGAATCCTGTGCTTGTGTCGATTGCCGATGAATCCTTATTTTGCGATGAACATGATGATGATGATTATACAGAAATATCTTGCTTTCTATATTATTGTCGTGTGTCCTCTTTTAAATTTATGTCCCACGTTGATATTTCGCTGATTGTTCTTGATTTTATTTCTTGTAGTATTATGTGATGAGTTTGATTGGTAAAATTTAGTTGCTTTCGATGCTAATCACATTGCGGAAAACATACCACTTTATTTCTTTTACTATTAAGGAACTCAATACACATCTTTTTCTAGAAGAATAATTTTGCCCACCTCACCACAAACCCAGTCATAAACATAATTTTATGGTATGACTATTATTCTTCTAGAAAAAGATAATGGCACAGAGTTACTCGTGGTATAACAAATTTAGTGATATGCTTACCATGTGAATGACGCATGATGATATTAATTTCTTGATTCCTCTTGTAAATACTTGTTTTTCAAAAAAATATGTGCCACGATGATTTTTTACAGAATCCTGTTCTTGTGTCTATTACCGATGAATCCTTTTTTTGCGGTGAACATGATGATGATGATTATACAGGAACATCTTGCTTTCTATATTATTGTCGTGTGTCCTCTTCTAAATTTATGTCCCACGTTGATATTTCGCTGATTGTTCTTGTGTCGATTACCGATGAATCCTTTTTTTGCGGTGAACATGATGATGATGATTATACTGGAACATCTTGCTTTCTATATTATTGTCGTGTGTCCGCTTCTAAATTTATGTCCCACGTTGATAATTCGCTGATTGTTCTTGATTTTATTTCTTGTAGTATTATGTGATGAGTTTGATTGGTGAAATTCAGTTGCTTTCGATGCAAATCACATTGCGGAAAACATACCACTTTATTTCTTTTACTATTAAGGAACTCAATACACATCTTTTTCGAGAAGAATAATTTTGCCACCTCACCACAAACCCAGTCATAAACATAATTTTGTGGTATGACAATTATTCTACTAGAAAAAGATGATGGCATAGAGTTACTCTTAGTATAAAAAATTTAGTGATATGTTTACCATGTGAATGACGCACGATGATATTAATTTCTTGATTCCTCTTGTAAATACTCCTGTTTCAAAAAAATATGTCCCGCGATGATTTTTTACAGATTCCTGTTCTTGTGTCTATTACCGATGAATCCATTTTTGCGGAGAACATGATGATGATGATTATACAGTAACCTATTGCTTTCTATATTATTGTCGTGTGTCCTCTTCTAAATTTATGTCCCACGTTGATAATTCGCTGATTGTTCTTGATTTTGTTTCTTGTAGTATTATGTGATGAGTTTGATTGGTGAAATTCAGTTGCTTTCGATGCAAATCACATTGCGGAAAACATACCACTTTATTTCTTTTACTAGAAAGGAACTCAATACACATCTTTTTCTAGAAGAATAATTTTGCCCACCTCACCACAAACCCAGTCATAAATATAATTTTATGGTATGACTATTATTCTTCTAGAAAAAGATAATGGCACAGAGTTACTCGTGGTATAACAAATTTAGTGATATGCTTACCATGTGAATGACGCATGATGATATTAATTTCTTGATTCCTCTTGTAAATACTTGTTTTTCAAAAAAATATGTCCCACGATGATTTTTTTACAGAATCCTGTTCTTGTGTCTATTACCGATGAATCCTTTTTTTGCGGTGAACATGATGATGATGATTATACAGGAACATCTTGTTTTCTATATTATTGTCGTGTGTCCTCTTCTAAATTTATGTCCCACGTTGATATTTCGCTGATTGTTCTTGATTTTATTTCTTGTAGTATTATGTGATGAGTTTGATTGGTGAAATTCAGTTGCTTTCGATGCAAATCACATTGCGGAAAACATAACACTTTATTTCTTTTACTATTAAGGAACTCAATACACATCTTTTTCGAGAAGAATAATTTTGCCCACCTCACCACAAACCCAGTCATAAACATAATTTTGTGGTATGACTATTATTCTTCTAGAAAAAGATAATGGCACAGAGTTACTCGTGGTATAACAAATTTAGTGATATGCTTACCATGTGAATGACGCATGATGATATTAATTTCTTGATTCCTCTTGTAAATACTTGTTTTTCAAAAAAATATGTCCCACGATGATTTTTTTACAGAATCCTGTTCTTGTGTCTATTACCGATGAATCCTTTTTTTGCGGTGAACATGATGATGATGATTATACAGGAACATCTTGTTTTCTATATTATTGTCGTGTGTCCTCTTCTAAATTTATGTCCCACGTTGATATTTCGCTGATTGTTCTTGATTTTATTTCTTGTA